AGGCCGGCTGCTGGCACGCCCCACGCAGATCCACATCCATTAGTGCATGCCTTTTTGATCTTTTTGGCATTTCTATGCAAGCTGTGCCTTTGGGTAGTGCAAGCCTTTTTGGCACCCTTTTTGGACATTCTATTGATCTTTTTGGCATTTCTATGCCAGCTGTGCCTTTGGGTAGTGCAAGCCTTTTTGGCATGTCTATTCCAGCAGTGCCTTTTGGCAGCCTTTAGCCGCTAGCCGCTAGCCGCAGCCGAAACACATTCACGGAGGCACTCAAAATACGGTGGAGCTGTCCTTGTTTGCAATAGTTGTGCCTTTTCCACGCGGCAAGGAGTCAAGAAGCCACGATAAGCCTTAAGACTTCCACTACATTGCAGGGGTGACCGCAGTGAGCCGTCAAGAACTTTGGGGGTTTGTGAGGCCCAAGTCCAGATCCAGGGGTGTGGCTCACTTTGTACGTGAGCTGAGGCACGCTTGAGATGGTCTCCGTGCGGATGACGAGGTGCCGAGCCCTGAGCGAGGTTGACGTGGACAACGATGGATGTCTCCCGAGGGTTGTTGAGGAGCTGAAGACCTTCCTGAAAGACAAATCGCCCAAGGTGAGGAGTGCAGCCTGTGAGGTGATTATTCGGAGAAAGGAGGCGTCATCTCTTCCAACGCAAATGCTGGCAGATATTCTGCCAGCATTGCTGCATATTTTGGCTGATGAGAGTGGTTTCGTGCGATACGCAGCTTCCTCGGCCCTCGCCAGACTGGAATTTGTGCTGGCAGACCTGCTGATGCATCAAGACTCCTCAGTACGGAAGGTCTCGTGCCAAGCTTTGAGCAATCTATCTTCAGAGGCCATTGCTCCACATGCCAACCGATTGGCAGAGCTTTTGGAAGTGGAGGAGTTGGAAGAGGCTGCATGCACCACCATGGCAAAGCTGCCGCAGAACCTCCTGGTCACCCACCTCCAAAGGCTATCCGAGAGCATGCTTCGTTTGCCTTCAGAGGTTGCTGAAGAGTTTGTGAACATCGTGAGCTTCGCCGAGGCGCAGGATCCAGAAGTTCAGAGGGCGGCCATCTCCATCGTAGGCAGGTGGTCCCATTCAGGATGGGTGAAAGCTTTGTCTCACCACCAGGACCTCGTGCGCGCCGGTGCCTGCAGGGCCATTGTGAAGATGCCAGGGTCTGTGCTCGTTCACCATGAGAAGCTATTGACTGGACTCTTGCAGGATTGGAATTCCTCGGTTCGAGCCAGCGCATGCTTTGCTTTGGGCCACTTGCCGGCTGCCCTTCTTCCTGCCCAAGTGGCGTCGCTGCTGGATGATTTGCAATATGAGGTGCGCCGGGAGGCATGCTTGGCTGCAGCCAAGCTGCCACAAGGTGCGATTGCGCCATGTGCTCTCGCTGTGCATGCTCCGAATCTGGCGCAACTGATGCAAGATGACGACGCAAATCTGAGGATGGCTGCATGCACAACCATGGCTCGGTTGCCAGGGCATGTCATGGCGAGGTATGCGACGCAGATCTCCAATGCCCTTCAAGGCTTTCCAAGCTTGGCCCAGGAGTTTCATGGCATCAGCGGCTGGCTGCAGCATGATGAACTTGTGGTGCAGGAGGCAGCCTGTTCCATAATGACAATGTGGCCGTCAGAGATGGTTGCTCCCCACATTGCCTCAGTGGTAGGGCTTTTGGAGGTTCTTCCACATATTGCTGGCATCCTTTTGGCAAAGCTGCCAGTAGACCTATTGGCCCCGCATCACGTCAAATCCTTGTCGATGAAGTTACTCCATATCGGTT